ATTCTCAGGCCTTCATCTCAGACTGAGATTTTCGCCATCTGCTTCCCTGGTGCTGAGGCTTTTGGACTTGGACTGAGCCACGCTACGAGCGTCCCAGGGTCTCCAGCTTGTAGACAGCTTGTGGGACTTCTCAGTCTCCATAATTGCATGTGCTATTCCCTGAATTAATCTATCTTCCTTCCTTCCTTCCTTCCTTCCTTCCTTCCTTCCTTCCTTCCTTCCTTCCACTCATCTACCTGTCCATCATTCCATTCATCCATGTATCCATCCATCCGTCTGTCTGTCCACCCATCTATCCGTCTATCCAAATGTCTATCTCATCTGGCAGTCTCCTATGGCTTCTATCTCTCTGGAGAGTCCTGACCGATACAAAGAGCATTTCCTAATCAACAACGTCGTTTCAACAGAGTTCACACAGTTCTGTTGTTAGCTCTTTGGTCTGCTGCCTCACTCTACATGAGGTGTAGACATGTGAATGGGATGGGCCTGTGTCTAATCAGTGCCTTCTCTGAGTACCCCTGAGTTAAAACCTTCCTGCTTATCTCTTTGTGAGTACCTGTACCACTTACTACAAGACTAGAAGGCAATCAGGAATTCTTTTCCCTGCTGTCCATTTCTGAGTCTTTCATAATTTTTCACAAAGTGTCCATTACCTCTTTTTTTTTTTTTTTTTTTTTTTGAGGCAGAGTCTTACTCTATCACCAGGCACCAGGTTGAAGTGCAGTCGTGCGATCTCGGCTCACTGCAACCTCCACCTTCCAGGTTCAAGCAATTCTCCTGCTTCAGCCTCCCGAGTAGCTAGGACTATAGGTGCGCACCACCACACCCAGCTAATTTTTGTATTTTTTAGTAGAAATGGGGTTTCACCATGTTGGCCAGGATGATCTTCATCTCTTGACCTTGTGATCCTTCTTCCTCGGCCTCCCAAAGTCCTGGGATTACAGATGTGAGCCACCCGCCCAGTCTCCCAGATGGTGAACTTCTCAAAGTCCTAGGTCATGGCTCTAGCTGGTGGAGCCACCAAGCGGGATCCTGAATGAGTGAGAATCTCTTCTCTTGATGCGGTCATCGCTAAGCATACTTTCTGGAGAGTTCATTTTCCTTTAGGCTCGGTGTTCATTATCCATTAGAGTTTATTATCCTTTATCCTTCTGGCTGTTTGTTGTTTGCTGCTAAGTTGGCTGGTTTTTCTAAAAATGGGTCTGTTATTTGTACTCTCTTAGAAGAAGGCAAGACAGTGAACTTGATTACCTTTTTCATTGTTGTAGAGCTCGGCTCGTTCCCAGGGATAAAAGGCCTACCAGAATAGTTTACTTTTTCCATTTAAAACCCGAAGACTTGGGTTCACGTTTCAGTCCTGTCATTCACCAAGCCTGTGCTCCTAGATGAATCTCACAGTCTTCTAGCCTCCTTCTTCCTTTTCTCTGAGTAAGACTCGTGTCTTCTGTGCCCCATCTGCAGGTGGCTGGGAGGGCCAGTGAGATGGTGGATGTGAGCAACCTTTATAAATCTGGAGCAAGCCTGGCTTTTCGTAGCTTTATCCTAGCACCTGCTATGTAAATATAGATAATTTTTAAAAAGTGGCTGGCATAGAGTAGAGCTCACAACATATTTGTTGAATGAGTGAAATCAAAGGTAGTTTTCCCATTTATAATGAATTTACTCATTCAATACTTTCTTCATTTGTTCATTGTTTACTGAACTTGATGTTCCAGCAGGTGGGCTGAGCCGTCAGGGCTGCATGGTCCTCCTCGCCACTGTGAAAATCATCTTTCTGAAGTAAAGCTAGGATCTGTCCTTGGCCCTCCAGAACCCCTCCGTTTATGTTGGATCCGAGCACAGTGCGCGCTCTGTGGTCTGGCCTCTGCCCGTCTTCTCATTTCATGTTCCATCATTTCCTTCCACATACCCTTGTTCTAGCCGTGCTCAACGTTTTAAAAACCCTCTTGTTATAAAATACATTTACCAGAAAGCGCATAAAATAGTATATGCTCAGTGATTTCTCATAAAGAAACCATCTTGTAACCACCATGCAGGTCAAGGGTAGGACGCTGTCAGCCCCGGAGGCACCCTGCCCCTTCCTAGCACAGCTGAGGGTCACCACGGACTTGGCTTTTGTGGACTCACTCGCGTCCTGTCCGGAGGCGGGAAGGACCTCCGTGCCTCGGCGGCAGCTGATGCTTGTCGGTGCTCTCGCTCATTGTGTTTCTCCTTCTCAGACTTCTTCTTTTGGTTGGCAACAGCTCGTCTCAAAGCCTGGCTCTGAAGTGACGTCTTCTCTGCCATTGTCCCCGTGCCCCTGTGTGTGCTGTCCCCCATGCCCGACTCCATGCCAGCTTGCATTTTGCCCTAGATTGTAAAGCTGTCACTCCCCCCGCTCTGGTGCCATCCAGCAGAGCTTCAGTAGCAGGGGAGTGTTTCCCCCCGGGCCCCCCAGCATCCTATCCACCAAGCCCCTTGAAATGTGGGGACTTGAATGAACATTGAAATTGAAGTAGCTACCTGTGGCTGCCATGTGAAGCAGGGGGTGCTGGGTGGGTGTAGACGCTGATGAGTATGGTGGGTGTTGGAGGGGGATGTGGAGCCAGTGAGAGCAGCCTGCCTGTGGGGCTGAGGGGTGATGTGAAGCAGCATGGGGGAGAATTGGAGCAGAGACCTGTGACCCAGGCTTGGGGTTCTGGTCACCCCCAACCTGTGAGTCAGCCCCTCATCGCGTCCCTCATGGTCTCTGAGTTGCTCCTGTCTCTTACCTCGTCTCTACCCCAGTCCATTTCTAATGTAGTTACCAAAGTTACCTCTTCAGTCCCCTTAGCTTTTGCTTAAAATCCTTCCTGGACTGAGCATTAAAAAAGAAAAGAAAAGAAAAGAAAGAGAGAAAGACAGGGTCTTGTTCTGCTGCCCAAGCTGGAGTGCAGTGGCAGGATCACAGCTCACTGCAGCCTCAGACTTCTGGGCTCAAGTGATCCTCTTGCCTCAGCCTCTCGAGCAGCTGGGACCACAGGCATGGCCTACAATGCCCGGCTAGTTTTTTACTTTTTATGGAGATGGGGTCTTGCTATGTTGCCCAGGCTTGGTTTGAACTCCTGGGCTCAAGCAATCTGCCTGCCTTGGCCTCCCAAAGTGCTCGGATTACAGCTGTGAGCCCCTCACCTGGCCTCCTGGGCTTCTTTTCATTATTGAAAATTCAACTTAAACTTTAATCTTTCTGTTCTTCCCTCTTAGTATTCAATCTTTGCAAGGAAATTATAAAACAAACACGATTACCGAGTACAAGTTAAACTCTAGTCTCCGGCAGGTGAAAATGTGGGTCCTCTTCTGTATAGACTCTGCCATTTCTGGCACTTCTGCTAAATTGCACAGCCAACCACACTGGCCATTGTTCTCCTTAGCTCTCATCCACTTATGGTTTAGGTGTTCTTCCCTTAAGTATATTGAGAAAGGAATGTGTTCCAGATGCTTCTGGGGGCTGAGGGGAATTCAGAGAAGAATCAGACCCTGTCTAGGGAGCCTATCATCTGGCACAGCTGAAAGGAATGAGAGGAATGATGGTCGCTGGTATTTAGGAAGCACTTTTAATATGCTGTTTGTCCTTCCAAGGGCTTTGCCAGTGTCGTTTAAATACATCGAACAGCTCTTCCTTCTGCAGTGATTTGGGTACTTGCCGTGTGCCAGGTACTTTGTTAGCTGCTGGGGAGATCGCCTCCAACAAGATGGTCTCCTTTTCTTCAGGGGGCTAACAGCCTGCAGTCGGGGCCAGCATTGAGGCACGCTGCGATCCACGTTGTGTTGTGGTGTGTGCAGACTCAGAGAAAGAGCATTTGACCCAGCGTGTTAGTCTGCTCTGGCTGCAGTGACAAATGCCATGGAGTGGGGGGCTTCCACAGGAGAAGTCTTCAGTCCTGGAGTCCAGGTTAGACTGCCCGCATGGTTGGGTTCTGGTGAGGCCTCTTCCCAGCTTGTACTCACTAGGTACTAGGTACTCACTATGGCTAGGTACGCACTGTGTCCTCACCTGGTATAAGCAGAGCTGGTGCGCTCTCTCTCTCTCTCTCTCTCTCTCATGCTCTCTCTCTCCTTATAAGACCACCAGACCTATGGAATTAGGACCCCATCCTTAGGACCTCATTTAACTTTAGTAACCTCCTAAAAGCTCTGTCTCCACATACAGTCATATTGAGGTTGGAGCTTTAACAGTTGAATTTCAGAGGGGGACACAGTTCAGTCCATAGCACTCAGCTTTGGTGATTCAGGGAGTGTTTGCTGGAGGAGGTATCAGGAAGTTAAACCCTAAAAGATGAGAGCGTTTACCAGGCAAAAGCAAGAGGGTGAGTGGATGGACAGGAAGCTTGCTAGAGGGCGTGGCACTTGCAGAGACCTGAGGTGAATGAGAGGTGATGTTTTTGGGAAACTGTAAGTCACAGCAGTGTACATGCCAGTGTGCCATAGAGTGAGGCGGGCACCATTAGATGGACAGGTGTACATTCCTGTGAAAGTTCCAAGGATGCCCCAGAAGGGAGAGGTGGCCATTGGTCGCATCTTGAGTGTCAGAAATGTTGTGCGTGTGGGGATGCCAGCAGGGAGAAGCAGATTGCAGCCTCAGGGGGACTTCAGCATGAAGATGTGGATGCGGGAGGGCAGGGGACCTCCATGGGGAAGAGTTTTGCACGGCCAGACACACTGCAGAATGAGGATAGTGCTCTACCAGCAGGAATATGGTGGGGAGTCAGTGTCAAGCCAGTGTCAGGTCAGCATGGGGTCCGGTCCATGTGGAGCAGTCTAGAAACAGTTTTCCTAAACATAGAATTTGTAGGCACTTCAACTTTCCATTGAGTTTCCATTGCCCAAGTCTTAGCATTGTGTGTGTGTTACTCCTTAAGGCGCAAAAGTTCCTGTCTCATTCAGTTACATGGTGATTAAAAATATAATGATATGCCCTTGAGCCCATGGGTAAACTTCAAGGTAAAGACGTCGTTTCGTCAGTGTGTGTTCATTTTTTACAGACTATGACTCGGACGCGATGAGCAGCTCTTACGAATCGTATGACGAAGAGGAGGAGGACGGGAAGGGGAAGAAAACCCGGCACCAGTGGCCTTCTGAGGAGGCCTCCATGGACCTGGTCAAGGATGCCAAAATCTGCGCCTTCCTGCTGCGGAAGAAGCGCTTCGGCCAGTGGAGCAAGCTGCTTTGCGTCATCAAAGACACCAAGCTGCTGGTGAGACATTTGGAATCGCTTGCATTTTTATAAGGTTCCTGTAATTTTAGTTTATACCCAGTCCCCGTTAACATCAGCTGTGCAGGAAGGGCAGTGCTCAGACCTCAGCGAGGTACCCTGAGGGTTCCCCACACACCATCAAGGAGCACTCGCCCATGCTGTGTCTTCAAGGTTGCTGGTTTCCCAGCTCCAAACAGCCAGCGGACAAAATCATCCCCATTCCCAGGCAGTGCCTGTGGTTTGCATCTAAGAAAATGCACAAGATTTTAACTTGCCAGAGGTTGCAAGATGGATTTTCTCATTTGTAGTGAGTCAGTGGATTCCTCAAAGCCAGGTCATAGAAGTGGGACGGGGAGCAGCCAGGAAAGGAAATTCTTTTGGAAAGCTTGGGGCCAATTCTTTATTATTATTTTTTAATCTGAGAGGCAGAACAGGAAGACAAGTGAGGAACAGAGAGGCAGGGAAGGGGAGAACACGGACCTTGCTGTGGGGTGATTCCAGTGGAGGCCCCAGCGGGGAGGCTACAGCCCTGGAGGATGGCATGGCATCCCCCGTCCCCCCCCCCCCGCTCCCTCACTACTTCCTCCCTCCCTCCCTCCCCCACTTCCTTCCTCCCTCCTTCCCTCCCTTCCTCCCTCTCCACCTTCCTTTTCCAGCTTCCTTTTTTTTAGAAACCGTGGTTGGTTTGGAATTAGGAATTTTAAGAGTATGTTTTTGCCTTTTGTTCTTCCTTCAGATTAACCTTGGGGTAAACACTGCTCAAAATAAGATCACTAAAACAGAAGGCGAGAATTGATTTTCTGTAGAGCACTCTAGTGGAGTGGATTATCCTATATATATATTTTTTCTGTAAACAGAAGTTTCGTCTTTGAATTGTGGGAAACTTTTTTATTTTAACTAGGTTCTTAGGATGTTATATATTTTTAATGTTTTTGCTCAGGTTTTTAAACACAGTACATATTTTTCCACAGGTGTGGAATTTCTCCTAGATTTAGCATGTGCCAAAAATGATGCCATGGGGAATATTAAAAAATGAAAAAAGAAGATGACTGTGGTCCTTATTCACAGCCTGATATAATGGCTACAAGATGTGGCTATATTATATAAATGTTTTAAAAGTACACAATCAACTTTCATTTAAAAGAGAAGCTTCCAGATCCACTGGGGGAAGCTCGGTGTTGCGCACAGGGATGAGCTGTTGGAGGTTCTGAGTCCCGGCCCCTCTGCCCCGCCCTCTGCTTCCTCAGCCCCGCCCTCTGCTTCCTCTGCCCCGCCTTCTGCTTCCTCTGCCCCGCCTTCTGCTTCCTCGGCCCCGCCTTCTGCTTCCTCGGCCCCGCCCTCTGCTTCCTCGGCCCCGCCTTCTGCTTCCTCGGCCCCGCCCTCTGCTTCCTCAGCCCCGCCCTCTGCTTCCTCGGCCCCGCCCTCTGCTTCCTCGGCCCCGCCCTCTGCTTCCTCAGCCCCGCCCTCTGCTTCCTTGGCCCCGCCCTCTGCTTCCTCGGCCCCGCCCTCTGCTTCCTCAGCCCCTGGACTTCTTTCCGCCTCGTCCTACCAGCTTTCCCCCTTCAAAACCAGAATGATAATGCCTACTATTTGGAGTGGTTGTGAATATTTAAAAAGAAATCAGTGAAAAACTAGGTGAAAGCACTGTCTTTGGTCAAATGCAGAATCAAAGTTAGTTATTTTTATTATGAAGCTTCTTTCCTTTCAAAAATGACCTATGATCCAGGGCTCAGGTGATTACCATTGGTATAAAAAATAATGAACAGTGATGAAAGCAAATGCTTTCCAAGTTTAAACATCATAGAAAAGAAAAAGCCATGTTCTTCCTCTAGATGTTCCCCCTCGTGTCTTCCCACAGGTTACCGCCATTAACAGCTTTTTTTGCTGTCTCCTTCTGGAACTTGTTCCTTCTGTGCCCAGGTAGCTCTGGGGCGGATACTGCGGTGTTCCCAGATTCCCGCATCAGTCCTCAGGGTGGAATTTCCTTGGCAGGGCTGCTGAGCCCACCTCGGGGCTGTCTGCATTGAAGAGGGGCCTAGAGCCCAAGGCCGAGCTCCATCCCCAGGGTCTGCATTCAGTGTGTGGGGGGCAGGTACACACCTAGACTCACTGGGCAGCATCGACGGGGCTTTCCAGCCCCAGAGCTCTCATGGTGGTATCCCTGATGCCACTCAGACTGGGCTTCTTTGCCCGCCCTGTTCCTCCCTCTCCTTACTCCTAGTGTTCTCTTCAGGATGGATGCCGTTCATAAACCTCCTGCTTGCTGCTGTCTGCTCTAAAGGCAGCGTCCCAGGAAATCTAGCCGGCTAGGACTGCCAGGTGACAGCCTGTCCTAGTGCTGATAGCATCTCTCTTGTGAGGCATTTAACTTAAGGAAGAATGTGTTATAAAGTTCCCTTTCTGAAATGCTAAGTGTTTGAGATGGTGGGTATGCTAATTACTCTGATCTGATCACTATACATTTTATGTATCAAAACATCACTCTGTACCCCATAAATACGTGCAGTTACTATATTTAAAAAGTTTACACAATTTAGTCAAAAATAAAATTCCCTTTCTGATTCCTTCCATTGTACAATTAGTTGCCTTTTTATACTTACTCAAAATGCAAAAAATCTGAAATGGTAAACATTCATAAAAATCTGAGGTTAGTTGAGGTATTTTTTTCTTCCTTTTAAGATCAGTTGCATTTTTAAAAAGGAGGGGATATATTTCTTATCTGTATACTTCAAAGTCCTGGATTCAGAACAGCAAAACAGAAAGGCCAGGGGTGGTGGCTCAGCCTGTAATCCCAGCACCTTGAGAGGTCAGGGTGGGTGGATCATGAGGTCAGGAGTTCGACACCAGCCTGGCCAAGGTGGTGAAACCCCATCTCTACTAAAAATACAAAAATTAGCTGGGCATGGTGGCTCCTATCTGTAGTCCCAGCTACTTGGGAGGCTGAGGCAGAAGAATCGCAGGAACCTGGGAGGCGCAGGTTGCAGTGAGCTGAGATCGCGTCACTGCACTGCAGCCTGGGCAACAGAGCAAGACTCCATCTGAAAACAAAAGCAGAGAAACAGGAAAAGACTCTAGAAATCGCTTCTGAAAATAGCTATCCCTTCCTTCCTTCCTTCCTTCGTCAGTGAATGTTTACAGTCAAGATGCAGGCTCTGGCCATGCACAGTTGGGGCTGGAGTCCGGGTCTGCCGCTTTTCAGGTTGCCTGACTTCGGGCAGGTTGCTTAATCAGCTGTACCTCGGTTTCATAGTCTGCAGCATGAGCAACCATGCTGATGGAGGTGCTTGAAATGCCTCATGCGATGTGGACACTCAGCACTTGGTAGCAGATGTTATTGTTGCTAATAACTTAATTCAATAAAATAATAATAACAATAACTGCAAAACACATTTTGCAAATGAGGAAACAGACTCAGGAGATTTAAGAAGCTCCTTAGGATGCTGATAAATGAGTCACAGCTCTGGGACCCAGATCTGCCCTCTTGGACTGTTAGGAGCTGTGCTTTGGCCCAGGTAATACAGGTCAACAAATGGGGGAAGGAGAAGCTTTGGGCAAGGATTTGATTCTTAGTTTTATAGACAAAGATTCAGCAAGAACCATTTAAGGTAAGTCTCAGTTCTTACCTGAGTAATCAAAATCTTTTTTTTTTTTTTTTTTTTTTTTTTTTTTTTTTTTTTTTCTGAAATAGAGATGGGGTTTCACCATGTTGACCAGGCTGGTCTCCAACTCCTGACCTCAGGTGATCCGCCCGGCTTGGCCTCCCACAGTGCCGGGATTACAGGCATGAGCCGCCTCGCCTGGCCGCCAATCAAAATCTTTAGAGTGGATGTCAGTTGCGTAGATGGAGCAGCTCTAGTCACCTGGAAAGCAGATCTTGGCGGACATTTTTCTACATTATGGATTGATATTATCCTCTTATTAAAATAATTTATGTCTTTCAGGAAGAGAAGATGAGATAGGCAGATACCAAGCAATATAGGTTATTAAAGTATCCAAATTATTATATTGTCTCTCTCATGAGGGCTGTGGAGTTGCAACAAATCTAATAGTATATTTTATATATTATTCACATAAATATAAATGCATTTTATATATACATTTAAATAAACATGTTAAATGTGTGTGTATGTGTTTTGTTTATTTGAGACAGAGTCTTTCTCTGTCACCCTGGCTGGAGTGCAGTAGTGTGCTCACTGTAACCTTGAATTCTGGGCTCAAGTGATTCTCCTGCATCAGCCTCCCGAGTAGCTGGCACTACAGGTGGGTGCCACCAAGTCCAGCTAATTTTTAATTTTTTGTAGAGACAGAGTCTCGCTAGCTTGTGCAGGCTGATCTTGAACTCGTAGCCTCAAGCAACCCTCCTGCTTAAGCCTCCCAAAGTGTTAGGCTTGCAGGTATGAGCCACCACACTTGGCTTATTATTTATTTATTTTTTGTTTTTGAGACAAAGTCTTACTCTGTTAGCCAGGATGAAGTGCAGTGAGCAATCATGGCTCACTGCAGCCTTGGGCTCCCAGGCTCAAGAGATCCTCCTGCCTCAGCCTCCCAAGTAGCTGGGACTACAGGAATGTGCCACTATGCCTGGCTGATTTTTTGTTTTTGGTAGAGATGGGGTTTATCGATGTTGCTCAGGCTGGTCTCGAACTCCTGGGCTCAAGTGATCCACCTGCCTAGGCCTCCCAAAGTGTTGTCATTACAGGTGTGATTCATCATGCCTGGCCTGTATTTTTATGTATGTAAATACATTCATGTATTTAATGAAGACGCTCCACTGGAATATAAACTTTATCAGAGTAGGGACTTTCTGTGTTTGTCGAGTCCTGTGATAGATGCTCAGTAAGCTTTTGCTGAGTCGGTGAATGGGTTTACTTCTTCACCCTTGGAGGCCAGGTGTCAGTGTGAAGAGCGCTGTGTGTGTGTGAACCGTTCATCTGCAGATGCAGACCTTCAGATTCCTTGCCCACGCTCAGGTTGTCATGATGCCAGTGTTTCTGTCTGAACTCTCTTATCATATCAATTGATTTGTTGTGTTGAATGCAGTGCTATAAAAGTTCCAAGGACCAGCAGCCTCAGATGGAACTGCCTCTCCAAGGCTGTAACATTACATACATCCCGAAAGACAGCAAAAAGAAGAAGCACGAGCTGAAGATTACTCAGCAGGGCACGGACCCACTTGTTCTTGCCGTCCAGAGCAAGGAGCAGGCCGAGCAGTGGCTGAAGGTAGGTTGTCAGCTATGTTTCACAGCCGGTTCCGTTCCACCTACCTTTCTGAGATCATTTTAATTTTAATTTTGTTCCAGCATAGGTAAGATGGATTAACCCATATAGTTTTGTCTTTAATAGCTGAATGTTCTGATGACATGGAGGCTAATCAAAAACCCAACGTCATTTTCACTCGTCTTTAAAAGGCAGCCTGTTGTCTGTAGGCTGCTTCTACGACTTTGGCTTTCATTTTCTAAAATGTCACTTCGTTGTGTCTGCATATGGATTCTTTTTAAAATTAATTCTGCTTGGGATTTGCTGGGCTTCTGAAATATAGTGGATTGTTACCTTTCTAAGTTCTGGAAAACGTTTTCAGCCATTTTCTTAAAGGACTGCTTTTCTGCATTTCTCCTTCTCTGAGATTACATTTAAATATATGTTAGACTTTCTCACTATATTTTACTTCTATTCTCTTTTTGTGTTTACCAATCTTTTTTTCTTTGTTTATTGAAACAAGGTTTGCCTCTATTGCCCAGGCTGGAGTGCGGTGGTATGATCTCAGTTCGCAGCAACCTCTGCCTCCCAGGCTCAATCGATCCTCCCACCTCAGCCTCCCAAGTTAGCTTGGATTCCAGGCACATGCCATTATGCCTGGCTAATTTTTGTATCTTTTTTATAGACGACGTTTCACCATATTGCCTAGGCTGGTCTTGAACTCATGAGCTCAAGTGATCTGCCCACCTTGGCCTCCTAAAGTGCTGGGATTACAAATGTGAGCCATTATTTCCAGCCCTACCATTTTTTTTTTTATTTCTTTGTCCTGGTTTATTTTTCTTGTTACTTTCCAGCCCATTATTTCTCCTTTTGTCTGCTTCTAATCTGCTATTAAATGTATTCCTGTTGACTAGGTTTTGGTTATGGTAGTTGTCTTAGTCTACTTGGACTACTCTGATGAAATATGATAAACTGAGTGACTTATTTACAGCAAATGTGTTTCTCACAGTTCTGGAGGCTGGGAAGTCCAAGATCAAGGCACTGTTCTGTCCAGTTTCTGGCGAGGGCTTGCTTCCTGGTTCACAGATGGCACCTTCCATCTGTGTCCTCACGTGGCGCAAAGGACATGGCAGGCCTCTGGGGCCTCTTTAGTAAGGGCACCAGCCGCATTCATGGGGGCACCTCCCAAAGGTCCTGCCTCCTAACATCATCATCTTGAGGGGTAGGATTTCAGGATATGGATTTGGGGGAATGCGTTCTATCCATGACAGCAGTTTTCAGTCCTGGAGTTTCTAATCTTTTCCGTTTGTTTTTGTTTTAGAGTCCGTTTTGCCTTGTATCTAGAATTTCTAGTTGCTGCTTCTTCAAGCTGGAAATACTACTTTTGCGGTTGTAAACTTCTTTTAGAAATGTCTGCTTGGCTTTTATCATCATAAATGTCATCAGCATGGTTTTTTTGACAGGAGTTTTTGGTGGAATTTGATCCTGGTTCTGTTGTCTGTTGTGCTGTTCTTGTTCATGTCATTTTTGTCATCTTTGTGCCAGGTTATTTCCAGTTTATGCTGGGCATTATATTTGGGGAAAAATTATTGAAATAATTTTTTATTACAGCTTTATTAAGTATAATTTATATACTGTAAATTCACCCTTGAGCCTGGGAGTTTGAGACCAGCCTGGACAACATGCAGAAACCCTGTCTCTACTAAAAAATAGAACAAATCAGCTGGGCATGGTGGCCATGTGGCTACTCAGGAGACTGAGGTGGGAGAATCACTTGAGCCTGGGAGGTCGAGACTGCAGTGAGCTGTGACTGTGCCACTATACTCCAGCCTGGCTGATAGGAGTGAGACCCTGTCTCAAAAACAAAGAACACTGTACCCATTGGCAGGCACTGTCCATTTGTCACCACCCTGTCCATCTCAGGCAGCTGCTCATCTGCTTTGTGTCTCTAGAGTTGCCCGTTGTCAGCATTTCACAGAAGTGGGCTCTTTTGGTACACGACCTTTCATGGCTGGCTTCTTTCACTTTGTATCCCGTTTTCAAGGTCTGTCCATATCGGAGTAGATTTCTGTTCTTCCTTGCTTTTATTGCTTCTTGGGTCATATGCAAGAAATGATGACTTAATCCAGGGTCCTGAAGATTTACACCTGTATTTTATTCTGAGACGTTGAGTGTTAGCTCTTAAATATAGATATTTGATGCACTTTAATTTTTGGCATGCAGGGTGAGGTAGGGATCCAGCTTCATTCATTCTTCTTCATGTGGGTCCCAGTTGTTCCTATGGAAACAACTTGATTCCTAGAACTATGCTTTCTACTACCAAGGAGCATTTCCCCTTGCTTCTCCCATATGCTTGGGGGTGTTAGCGCTCCAAAATCCATTTATTCTAAATTCAGGGTTTGAGATTCTCAGAGCCACTTAGGTAACTTTTAAGTCAGCCCACAGTCCATTCAAGGGCAGGTTTATATTTCTTTTTTTTCACTCTTAACTCACAGTTACATTCTGTTGGGGTCCCCATCCTGCTTGTGAGTGTTTTGCCAGGGACCCCGTCCTTGGCCTGCCCTGGAATGCAGCTTGGATCTCTCTTCCCACTGAGCCATTAGAGGTTCCACCTTGCCCCTCAGCTACCCCCTTGGAGTGGGCAAAGCAGTCCCAGTCGCCAGGCTTCCCTTCTGAATTTCCATCATCCTCTGGATTTTGGCCCAGGAATTGCTCACTATCATAGTAGCTACTTCGTGCTTTGGGGAAGATGCTTCCTGTCTTCTATCTTGCTTTTTTTTTTTTTTTTTTTTTTAAAAGAAGTTTTTATTTCCATAGGTTGTTGGGGAACAGTGGTGTTTGGCTACATGAGTAAGTTCTTAAGTGGTGAATTGTGAGATTTTGGTGCATCCATTACTCGAACGGTGTACACTGCGCACCCACTTCCCACCCTTTCCCCCGAGTCCTCAAAGTCCATCATGTCATTCTTATGCCTTTGTATCCTCACAGCTTAGCTCCCACTTATGAGTGAGAACGTATAATGTTTGGTTTTCCATTCCCGCATTACTTCACTTTGAATAATAGTCTCCAATCCCATCCAGGTCGCTGCGAAGGCCATTAATGTATTCCTTTTTATGGCTGAGTAGTATTCTATTGTGTGTGCATGTATATATATACATATATCTGTGTCGTAGTTTATTCGTCTGCTCTTTGATTGATGGGCATTTGGGTTGGTTCCGCATTTTTTGCAATTGCGAATTGTGCTGCTCTAACCGTGTGTGCAAGTATGTTTTTTGTATAATGTCTTCTTTTCCTCTGGATAGATACCCAGATGTGGTATTGCTGGATCGAATGGTAGTTCTACTTTTAGTTCTTTAAGAAATCTCCAGGCTGGGCATGGTGGTTCACGCCTGTAATCCCAGCACTTTGGGAGGCCAAGGTGGGCAGATCACAAGGTCAGGAGATCGAAACCATCCTGGCTAACATGGTGAAACCCCGTATCTACCAGAAATATAAAAAATTAGCCAGGCGTGGTGGCACATGCCTGAAGTCCCAGCTACTTGGGAAGCTGAGGCAGGAGAATTGCTTGAACCCAGGAGATGGAGCTTGCAGTTGGCTGAGATTGCGCCACTGCACTCCAGCCTGGGCGGCAGAGTGAGACTTGATCTGGAAAAAAAAAAAAAAAAAAAAAAGAAATCTCCACACTGTTTTCCATAGTGCTTGTTTACGTTACCCACCAGCAGTGTAGAAGTGTTTCCTGTTCACTGCGTCCACACCAACATCTGTTATTTTTTGATTATGGTCATTCTTGCAGGAATAAGGTGGTATCGAATTGTGGTTTTAATTTGCTTTCCTTGATCATTAATGATGTTGAGCATTTTTTCATATGTTTGTTGACCGTTTGTATAACTTCTTTTGAGAATTGTTTATTCGTGTCCTTGCTCACTTTTGATGAGATTGTTTGGTTTCTTCTTGCTACTTTGTTTGAGTTTGTTGTAGATTCTGGATATTAGTCCTTTGTCAGATGTATACATTTTGAAGATTTTCTCTCACTCTGTGGGTTATCTGTTTACTCTGCTGACTGGTCCTTTGCTGTGCAAAAGCTCTTTAATGAAGTCCCAGCTATTTATCTTTGTTTTTATTGCATTCGCTTTGGAATTCTTAGTCATGAAATCCTTGCCTAAGCCAGTGTCTAGAAGGGTTTTTCTGATGTTGTCTTCTAGAATTTTTATAGTTTTGGGTCTTAGGTTTAAGCCCTTAATCCATCTTGAGTTGATTTTTATACAAGGATAAAGGTGAGGGTCCCGTTTCCTTCTCCTACATGAGGCTAGCCAATTGTCCCGGCCCCATTGGTTGAATAGGGTGTCCTTTCCTCACTTGATGTTTTTGTCGAAGGTCAACAAAGCAAACAGAACATGAAGTGGGGAAGTTGGCTGTAAGTGTTTGGGTTTATTTCTGGGTTCTCTGTTCTGTTCCATTGGATGTGCCTGTTTTTATGCCAGTCCCACGCTCTCCGGGGGACTGTGGCCTTATAGAATTGTTTGGAATCAGGTCATGTGATGCCTTCTTCTGTTTGTTCTTTTTGCTTGGTCTTGCTGTGGGTATGCGGGCTCTTTTTCGGTTCCATATGAATTTTAGGATCGTTTTTTCTAGTTATGTGAAGAATGATGTCTATCTTGCTTTTCTCATTGTCACCATCAGGAAGATTGGCCCAAACCACCTAGTCCATCGTGGCCAGCAAGTACCTGTTGTTTAAGAAACCGGCTCAGGAGTGCAGTGGGGAAACCTGGCCGAACACTTCATAGCGGCGGGTCTTAAACCACCCAGGTCTCCATCAAACCTTCAGTCTCTTTTGCTGCATTCAGCAGGAAGGCATGTGGTTCAGACCCCACGACTAGAGCAGCGTTTCCTGCCACTGTCTGCAGCTGCTCAGGGCACACAGATGCTATCTGTTGCATTTTGTTGGCAGTGGCTGTGGCTCTTCCCACATCTGTATCATGTGGGATATTGAGAGCTTTCTTCCCCTCTGGATGATCCTTCTGGAA